ATTAAGATGAATAATCTTATTAACAGTATTTTATTATGTATGATTGTTATTATTATTAATAATAGTTATATGAATTATAAGCATACTCTCTATCCTAACTTCAGCCAGCATAAATAACAGAGACCTTAATTAACGCAGTACCAATTATTATTGTTAACATAAATAATCTTAATAATAATAATAATCATATATTATTATAAATCATAATCATTTTTTATATTTATAATATGATTATCATTTTAAAATAATATGATAATAATCTTATTATATTATAGTAACAACAACAACACTACTACTACTAATACTACTACTACTACTACTACTACTACTACTACTACTACTACTAATAATAATAATAATAATAATAATAATAATAATAATAATAATAATAATAATAATCATAAGCATACTCTCCATCCTGACTAACTGAGGCTTCTACATACAGATACTGTCCCGGTTCAGCAGCCTGCAGCTGTCCGGCAGGCCGGGGATCTTCAGCTCCGTCTTCGCCCGCATGCCGTCCAGCGCGTGCTTCACTACGAACTGCCGCTCCGCCAGCGTCAGAAACGCCTCCATGTTGTCTGCGGGCGCACAAACACACACACACACACACACACGGTGACACAGACACAGGAGAACATGGAGACTCCACCCAGAAAAGTCCTGGTTCCCCCCGGGACTCCAACCCAGAACCCTGACCACCACACCGCCCCAAAAATGTCCCTTAGAATAAAAATTGAATGAAAAGGCCCTTAGACTAAAAATTTTAAAAGCCAAAAATGTCCCTTAGAATAAACATCAAATGAAAAGGCCCTTAGACAAAAAATTTTAAAAGCCAAAAATGTCCCTTAGAATAAAAATCAAATGAAAAGGCCCTTAGAATAAAAAAAAAAAAAAGCCCAAATTATCCCTCAAAATAAAAAAACATAGCCAAAAATGTCCCTTTGAATAAACAAAAAAACAAAGCCAAAAATGTTGCTTAGAATAAAAAAAAGCCAAAATGTCCTTTAGAATAAACAAAAAAACAAAGCCAAAAATGTCCTTTAGAATAAAAAGAAAAGCCAAAAGTGTAACTTAGAATGAAAAAAAAAAGTTCCTTAGAATATAAAAAGCCAAAATTGTCCCTGAGAATTAAAAGAAGCCAAAAATGTCCCTTAGAACATAAAAACAAAGCGTGGTTTGGGTATTTGGCCTGGGGCCTGAGGGATTGATCCCTGAGGTAAGTGTCCTCCAGAGGAAGGGTCCTGCTCACCCGCGTCCCTGAAGCCGTCCCGGTGGCTGTGGGAGAAGGCCTCCATGCCCCCGTCCCGGTGGGCCCTGCAGAGCCCCAGCTCCTCGCAGGCCCGCAGCAGCGTGCAGCGGGGGGCCGACAGCACCAGGAGGTCCCCGCCCGCGTCCTCCCCCGGGTGGGCCAGCAGGGCCGCGCCTGGAGGGACACACCTCTCACAGTCTGGGCCTCAGGACGAGCTAACGAGCTAACGGCTAACGAGCTAACGGCTAACGAGCTAATGAGCCAACGAGCTAACGGATAACGAGCTAACGGCTAACGGGCTAACGAGCTAACGAGCTAACGGGTAACGAGCTAACGAGCAAACAAGCTAACGGCTAACGGGCTAACGGGCTAACAAGCTAACGGCTAACGAGCTAACGAGATTCAGTTCAGTTCAGTTCAGTTTAGTTTAGTTTAGTTTAATTCAGTTCAGTTCTTTTACTTATTTTTGGTTGTTTTGCTGCTTCTTCCACAGATTTTTCATTGTTTTGCAGCTTTTTTACTTACTTTTGGTTGTTTTGCTGATTTTTCCACTTAGTCTTCATTGTTTTTCTACTTCCTCCACTAATTTGTCATTTTTTTTTACAGTTTCTTTTACTTATTGTTACTGTTACTGTTACTGTTTACTTATTGTACTTATTTACTTATTGTTTTGGGTTGTTTTGTTTTTCCACTTATTTTTCATTGTTCTTGTACTTCATCCATTAAGTTTTCATTATTTTGCTGCTTCTTTTACTTATTTTTGGTCTCTTAGCTGCTAACCACCGTTAACCCCCCCAGTTGGCCTCCATGGCCCCCAGCAGGACGGACCAGAGACACCTTTGGTTTCTTTAGTTAACTCAGAGCTCCAGCATCAGTCAGAGCTGAAGAAGCTTCTGGATCAGAGGCCAAACGGCTTCTAGAGAGTTTCACCTCCAGCTTTCCACGCTGGACCTGGATGACTGAGGATCCTCACAGATATAATCATATACAATAGGATTATAATCATGGTTGTTCTGCTGATTTTTCAACTTATTTTTTGTTACTTTGCTGCTTCTTTTACTTATTTTTGGCTGTTTTGCAGATTTTTCCACTTATTTTTTTATTGTTCTTCTACTTCTTCCACCAATTTGTCATTGTTTTGCTGCTTCTTCTACTTATTTTTGGTCATTTTTCTGCTTTTTCCACTTATTTTTAGTTGTTTTTCTACTTCTTCAACTTGTTTTTCATTGTTTTCTTCAGTCAGAGATGAAGAAGCTTCTGGATCAGAGGCCAAACAGCTTCTAGAGAGTTTCACCTCCAGTTTTCCAGGCTGGACCTGGATGACTGAGGATCCTCACAGATATAATCATATATAATAGGATTATAATCATGGTTGTTTTGCTGCTTTTTACACTTATTTTTTGTTGTTTTTCTACTCCTTACACTTATTTTTTGTTGTTTTTCTACTTCTTCAACTTAGTTTTCATTGTTCTACTACTTTTCCCACTAATTTTTCATTGTTTTGCTGCTTATTTTACTTATTTTTGGTCATTTTTCTGCTTTTTCCACTTATTTTTAGTTGTTTTTATACTTCTTCCACTTGTTTTTCATTGTTTTCTTCAGTCAGAGCTGAAGAAGCTTCTGGATCAGAGGCCAAACTGCAAACAGCTTTCCAGGCTGGACCTGGATGACTGAGGATCCTCACAGATATAATCATATATAATAGGATTATAATCATGGTTGTTTAGCTGATTTTCAACTTATTTTTAATTATTTTGCTGCTTCTTTGACTTATTTTTGGTTGTTTTGCTGATTTTTCCACTTATTTTTTATAGTTCTTCTACTTCTTCCACTAATTTTTCATTGTTTTGCTGCTTCTTTTACTTATTTTTGGTCATTTTGCTGCTTTTTCCACTTATTTTTAGTTGTTCTTCTACTTCTTCCACTTATTTTTCATTGTTCTTCTACTTCTTTTACTTATTTTTGGTCATTTAGCTGATTTTTCCACTTATTTTTAGTTGTTTTTCTACTTCTTCCACTAATTTTTCATTGTTTTGCTGCTTCTTTTTCCTATTTTTGGTCATTTTGCTGCTTTTTTCACTTATTTTGAGTTGTTTTTCTACTTGTTTTTCATTGTTTTCTTCAGTCAGAGCTGAAGAAGCTTCTGGATCAGAGGCCAAACGTCTTCTAGAAAGCTTCACCTCCAGCTTTCCAGGCTGGACCTGGATGACTGAGGATCCTCACAGATGTGTTTAAATGCTGGATATTATTCCTATAAACCCCTCCAGGGAGACCCCCCCTCACCTCCGTCCTTCTGCGGGGCGGCGATCAGCCTGAGGAGCCACCTCTTGGTCTCGGGCCCGACTTTGGGGCCCAGCTTCACCAGGACCAGCGGCTGGACGCGCTGGGCGTGGCAGCAGGGGCAGCTGACCCGGGTCCAGCCGCCGCCGCCCAGCCTCCCATCCTTTGAGGGCTCCGCCTCTCCCGCCCGGATCATCACGAGGCTGCAGGCAGGGGAGGAAACGCGTCAGACAGCAGAGGTTAATGTCACTTTTTTTAGGTTTCCGGTTGCTAAACTGAGTTTTCTTCTGAGTTTTCTTCTGAGTTTTTCAGATTTTTCTAAACTACTGAACGATCTGGGCTTTAATAATGAACATAGTTCAGGTTTTTATGTTCATGGACGTCTTCTGAGTCCTTTTAGGAAAGTAAAGTATAATCATTACATCCAGGGTTCGAAATGACCCATCGACCGTGCGTCCGGGGTGAGAAAAATCAGAAGCTGTCAGCCCATCGTGCAGTCAGCTCCATGGGGTAGGACGGGTTGGCAAATTAAGTTTATATATCAAATACATGCAAAATAAATAGGGAATCAACAAAGTTTTCGTTTGAAATTCATTGTATTGCCATGTTGTCTTTCATCCTATTTTGGACTGATTTTGGTCAGTTTGGATAGGCTTTGGACCAGTTTTGGACTGGTTTGTGTTCGTTTTGGGTTAGTTTGGGTCAGTTTTGTTTTGGTTTGGGTTAGTTTTGGACCGGTTTAGGTTCGTTTTGGGCTGGATTGGGTTAGCGTGTGCTCAACTCCTAGGAGTAGGACGGGTTGGCAAATTAAGTTTTTATATCAAATACATGCAAAATAAACAGGGAACCAACACAAAAAAAAGCAAAAAAAAACAACATTTTTGTTTGAAATGCATCATCCCTCCATGTTATATTGCAGTTTATCTTCATCTCTTTTAAATCGTTGGAGGCATGACATGGTTGCGCCACCAAGTGAGAGGAACTTTTTTAATAATATTAAATTACACCACAGCGACCACAGCATTCTAGGAGATCTGCTGACAAACATTTTCTGTGTGTTGGTTTCCGAATATGACACGACATGACGCCAGGCTACAAACAAAATATTCAGATTTAGTCTGCTTGAGCCCATGTAAAATAATAGTACCAATTGGGCTGCTTTTGGTCACAGCTAACAACTTTTCAGAGCTGTTAGCCCTGCTGGCTAATACAGATTCCCACGAATTTCCAACCCTGATTAAATCCACTTAAACTCGTTCAGTCAGCGCTGACCTTTGACCTTTGACCTGCTAACTGAGGCAGGCATCAGTCTCAGATGTATCTGTTGGGTTTATGACTTTGGGGTAAACTTTGGGAGTGGTCCCTATCTCTGTGGATGGCCTCTAGTGGCCTGGTCACCCTTCATGTCATACAATTGATGTTTAATGACGTTTAAATGTTCCGTTGATGTAAATGCAGCCATATAACAGAGACATTTTCATGTTTTATTTCTGCATTTGCATCGGCTGTTCCACTTTCAAACAGCAAGGATTTGCATGGACTAACTTAACTCTGACACTCAGAATATTTCTCACATTCTCACGGCTCCTTAAAGATAAAAATCCTCACTGAATGAGTCAGTTATTTCTACGGAAACCGCAGTTTCTTTTAGCGTCTCTTCCCTCTGAAAGCTTCCTGTGTTTTTCTCTGAGCTTAAAGACACAGAGACGCATTTCTGAGAGGCTGAGCACTTCCTGCTCCGACCGAGACGCCTGATAACAGGCAGCTAAAGAGACATGAGGATGAGTAACAGAAAGAGAAAAACAGCACCTGGCAACGCTCCGGTGATGGGGGGGGGGGGTTAGGCTGCACGTCCCCTGGTCGGGCCCTCCCCAAACTCCTGCTCCACACACAGAAAAAACACAGAAAGACAGAAACCGGAGTGAGAAGGGAAGAAGGAATGGAGGAAAACAGCAGCTCACGCTCAGTCTGGAGATCCTCCCAGCTCTCACTGGTCTGGGAGGGGAGGGTGGGGGGGGCAGGAATGCAGAGGAACCTCCACAGGCTGCAGGGCGTGGTGCTGTGTGGCTGGAGCCTGGTTCTCAGGCCCCTCCCTGCTCAGGCAGCTGCAGCCCTGGGTCCTACTGCGCCTCCACCGGCAGCAAGAGCCTGTTAGCCCCATTCTGTAGCCCTGAGAATAAACCAGAGCAGATCAAGAGTCAAGTCAAGTCAAGTCAAACTTTATTTATAGAGCAGTGTTTTTCAACCTTTTTGAGCCAAGGTGCATTTTTTCATAGAAAAAATCACGAGGCACACCACCAACCAAAAATGTTAAACCAAATCTGTAGCCGCCTATAGTGACACTATAGTTATTCTTATTTTATTCTTATCTTATCTTAAGTGTCTTGAATAGGAATCAAATAAACACATCATATTTTATATTTCTTCTTTCAAATTGCACTTAACATGTCCACTTCAATATACAAAATTATATACAAAATCTAGTCATAAGGACATGATTCCTCCACCAGTCACTAGAACAGCACAGACCCTCAAAAATGGCATATTATTTGCAGATAATTAATTATTTATCATAAAATCTTTTTAGACCAATGAGGTGAAATAGGATGATTTTCTACGGCACACCTGACCATCACTCACGGCACACTAGTGTACCGAGGCACAGTGGTTGAAAAACACTGTTATAGAGCACATTTAAAATAACCAAAGTTGCCAAAGTGCTGTACAGGTTAAAATACACATAAAAAGCAATAATTTACATGTATATGTCATTATAATGTAAGAAGAAAAAAAAAAAGAGTACAAATATGATGATATTTATTGGTCACAAGCAAAGTAAATCAGATGGGCTCTAACAGACAAAAGTTCCTGGAGGATCTCAGTTAGCAAAAGCCTCGATTTCTGGGTGTTATTGGACAGTTATCCTCTGACATGAACAGGCCAGGTCCTAATTCATGCAGGTTTAGGTGGAATGTGATAAGAAAGTGTGAATGTTGACCTCAAAGACGAGTATCTACTGTAACAGAGAGAGGAGGAGGAGGAGGAGGAACCGCCAGAGAGTTTAACCCAAAAGTCTAATTCTAAAGGGAATAATAAAAATCTAAAAAGGAATAAGACAATCAGTCATTTACATGGATTAAGTTATAACATGCTATAGTAAAGTGAGTAATTATCAGAATCAGAATCAGAATCAGAAATACTTTAATAATCCCAGAGGGAAATTATTTTTGTTACAGGCTCCATAAGCAAAATAAAACAAAGGCATATACATATGTACATGTCTATACATATATACATATATATATACAAAATTCCTCATAAATATAGCTAGATATATACAAAATGAGAGGTGGATAGTGTCGATAGCCCGATTCTAACAAGCTCAGGCTCCCGTTTGCCTTTATTTATTTATTTTTTTACCTTTTCTGATTAAGTTATAACTATATAGTATATATATATATATATATATATACTATACTATGTATTACTTAACATTACTCAATTTAGTATACTATACTATACTATACTATACTATACTATACTATACTATACTATATATACTATACTAAAGTGAGTAATTATAGCCCGTTTCTAACAAGCTCAGGCAGCCAGAGCTGCTCTGTTTGGCTTCCATTTGGCTTCTTCATTGATTGATTGACTAATACTTTATTGATCTCACACGGAGAAATTCATTTCCTGTACAGCCCGAACCAAGATCATACAAATAAAACACACCCCAGTTCGGGTAGACCAGGGCAGCCACTCTAGAGCGCATCATTTTTCCTTCAGAACAAAGATACATCAGGAAAGTGGTTGCCGGAAGAAAAAAGACCCAGTGCCACGCCCCCTACAGGTGATTAAAAAAAAACACCTCAGTACACCTAAGCACAGATACAGTCAAATCTTCTTAAGAGACGGAGAGTTTAGAGCAGAAATAAGGAAATTGAGCTAAATGTGGTCAGAGGAGAAGATGCACAGGTCCTGCTGAGTCTCTGAAGCTGTAATAACCCCGTAAGGAACTAATGAATGAGGAAAATATCTGAAAACGTATAATTTTCATACCTGTAAAACCGTTTTCCCTTTAATCTGTAACAGCTTGAGCCCCGGAAACCACCGTGACCAGAAAAAATTTAACTTATATATTATTTTTCTTTCTATTTAGTCAAACTGAACATAATTTAACTAATAAATTAAATGTTGATAATGCATAAACTAGAAGATGGAAGCAGGAAGACTTAATATGATGGATTTCCAGTTAATCACATTGAGTCTAAACTTTATTATTGGTTCTTTATTCTGGCGTTTCATGACAGTGAAGTTGAAAACTGTTTTTGTTTGTTTATATGTAAAAATGAAACTTACCTGAGGAAAATCCTTCCGTTAATATTGAAATAACCGTTCAGATGTTTGCATTTTGATGGGGTTTTTTTACAGATTAATGGTAAACTGGATCCACACTTTGAGACAAATGATTACTAATTGTATTTTTTTTTATAGATATCTGCTGGTGTGGCATTTCTATTGCATGGAAAACAAACACACAAACAAAGCCAGGGTCCGAAATATACAGATATTTATTTACAAACAGGTTTGCATTTGCATAGAAATTTCAAATTCCATAACCAAAGTTATAAGACATTAAAGTAAACAGATTGGGGGAAAATATGATCTCTGCTGCATCAGCACGAGCGCAATGTCAAGTCTGAGAATCAAAGCTTACCAGCTGCTTCTTTATTTATACTCTATATTTGTCACATAAATACACATAAATAAGATCTGAGAGGTGGAAACATCTCCCTCACTTTCACACCATTTAATTACATTCAAAGTTCTCATTAGTTTGGTCACCTGAAAAAAAAAAAACAAATTAATACAGGCATAAAACATCTAAAATCATTTATTCTTTTTTAAAAATAATAATAATAATAATCTTTCACATGAAATAGACTTATTTTCTGTCCTCCCTGGGATCAGTATGGAGCCCCCCAGCTGACTTTTGCCTTCTGACGTAATAAACTTTGCGTTTTCACACAATAATAGCTTTAAATTGCAGACCGATCTAAAAAATTAAACCTTATAATCTTGTCTAAAGGCTGTGGGAGATCCATTGTGTGTCTGATGTAAAATAATGCACGATTATGGGCATGCAGAAGAGCTCAAAACTTTATACGTAAGAGCTCAAAACTCTTTGCGTAAGGACGTAAAACTTTATGCGTAAGGACGGAAAACTTTATGCGTAAAGACGGAAAACTTTATGTGTAAAGGACGCAAAACTTTATGCGTAAAGATGGAAAACTTTATGCGTAAGGACGCAAAACTTTATGCGTAGAGACAGAAAACTTTATGCGTAATGACGCAAAACTTTATGCGTAAGGACGCAAAACTTTATGCGTAAGGACGCAAAATAAAAGCCACTGCATGGTGACCTGGGGGGCTCCGTAAAACAGTTTGGTGGCTTTAATTTGGCTAACATTTTTGGCTCATCCCTGGAAACCGTTTCGGTCACTCATCCTCTTTCGTTTCTGAAGAAAAGCAGCAAAAGCTGCTGATTTTTGGGTTAAAATAAACAGATATCCACGCGCGTTAAAAGCAAGAATAGTTTTCTTTTTAAAGCTTTTTTAAAATTTTCTCTCTGTGCCCGTGTCAGTGGGCAAAGAGCTGACGTCTGGTTTGTTCTGCCTCAGTTTGTCTGGTCGTCTGTTGTCGGGGGTTACGAGGCGTACGCGCCGAGGATCCGCCGTTAGGCCTCACCACCTCCTGCCGTCGAGTCAGAAACGCCGGTCGTCATCCTCTACGGAGATCCACGGGGTCAAAGGAGCCACCAGGAGCCAAAAGATGTGGACGGAAGCAACGTTTACCCCAAAAAAATCAGGCATCTGGACCCAAATATGAAGCCCAATAATCCCAGATTCAAGCAAGCAAACTACTGCGTCCATATCTTTTTTTTTTGCCCTCTATTTAGACAGAAATTCTCCCGTGACCTTTGACCCCGGGAGCTCCACAGCAGGAGGCGGGACCCCCCGGTTTCACGCCCTCGGCCCCTCGTTCACCTCGACCCCCCCCCTCCAGTACAGCGTCCATCTTTCTCCTCCGACGATCAATGCGTCTCCTTTTCTGTACAAAATCTTAAAAATATATAGCTGTTTGTTGTTTTTTTTTTACATCTATGTAGAAGCAAAACGGGATGGGGGGGGGTGGGAGAATATATATGTCCTTTTCTCTGATTGGGCACAGAACCTGGAGCCAGGAATCAATAACTTAGAGTGGATCTCCTTCAGAAACCGACGTTTTACCTGGGAAAGAACAAGCTGTAAAAAAAGTCTGACGGAGGAGGAGAGTTTTTTCCTGAGCTGTTTTTTTCTTTTTCTTGGGGGGTCTTTTTGATGCTCACACATACTTTGCCTCCTCCACTCCCCCATCTCCAGGCTCCTTTTCTCTCTCCCACGGCGTCTCACTCAAAGCGGGTTTTTCTGAACTGGTCCTGAAGCCAAAGGGTGGGAAAAGGGGGGGGGGAGGAGGCGGGGGCTGGGGGGGGGGCCTCTGGTGAGCCGTTTCGGGGCTAGAACTTCTCATCCGGGATGACGGTGTTGAAGGGGTGGTCCCAAAACGTACTGGTGATCCCAAAGCCTGTGGAGAAACAACTTGCTTTTAATTTCTGAGTTTTTTTATTATGTTTTATAGCCTTTTTTTAAAGCTACTTGGTTCAGGAATTCCTCCATCTAAAGGTGAAACTGTGTTCTGCATCCTATCAAATCTGCTGTCCGTTTTCACATTTTCAGCTACTGTAGCCATCAGGCATCAAGAAGTAACGATAGCATGACTTCCACATCATGGAGTTTTCTCTAATTATGAAGTTTGTCATTTAAAAGAAATGACAAACTGCATTGAATCATTAGTGTGAGCCTATAATTCCTCCTCCAACAAGATGGAGAATTACTCTTCCATGTTAGCTTGTTTTTTTTGTTTGTAGCTTAGCGTTACTAGCATACGTCGTAGCTATCTTTAGCCAACAACTCGACACAACAAACAAACAAATGTTACAGTCTGAATTACAGACTGAAAAGCTGAACTGTGCTAATTAGTAGTGATATGTTCTATACCCGTTTACTTTTCGATTTACGCTCACTTATAAGAGATGGTTTTAGTCACATGACTCTGAAGGAAAACGGGTTGTGGATTAGCTGTGGACAGGTAGGCTAGTGCTTTATGTTTTATATCCTTTTTTTAAAGCTACTTGGTTCAGGAATTCCTCCATCTAAGGGTGAAACTGTGTCCTGCATCCTAACAAATCTGCTCTCTGGTGCCTCCGTTTTCACATTTTCAGCTATGCTAACCGTCAGGCATCAACAAGTAAGGACAACATGACTTCCACATCATTTTTGTTTCTCTGGTGATGAGTTTTGTGATTTAAAAGAAATGACAAACTGCATTGAATCATTAATGTGAGCATGTATTTCCCCCTCCAACAAGATGGAGAATTAAGTTTTCATGTTAGCTAGTTTTTTTGTTTGTACCTTAGCAGTGCTAGCCTACGTCGCAGCTAGTGGATTAGCTAGATAGGCAAATTAGTGCTCTATGTCCCTCTCTGCCATTATAGTTTTTCAATATGGCAGATCACCATGGAAACTTCCGGGGAAGAAATTCTTTGCTTAAGAAGAGAAGTAAGATCATTGCAGAGGTCATTTTACACCAAATGAGGACACATTTAGAAATGAAGAACATGATTTTAGCTAATAAAATACTCAAAATACTAGACAGTGTCCCTTTAATGTTGTGGTTTTTGTTTTTAGTAAGTATTAATTAGTAGTATTTGTTTTATTAGCTGCTTATAAAGGCGCTCTATAAAATAAAGTTTAATATTATCATTATCAAAAGGAAACTCCACTTTAATTTTCCTCCACCAATCAGACGGCGTCGGGCAGTCACATGACCAGACCCACAGCGGCCAGAGGTCCTCGAGCCTTAAAGGGACGGCAGCGGGTGTCAAACCGTCGTTATGTGGTTTCTACTCACTGTTTTTCTCAGCTTCAGTTCAGTTTTCTGGCCTGAAATGTTGTCAGATCAGACACCTGATAAATTCTGACACAACCGGACAGAAAAAACAAGCTACAATTTCAGCCGTTTCCCTCAAAAATGAGGAATCGTTTTAAGCAAATGAGCTCTATTCTAACACAGGAACCAAAATAAGTGTCAAATATACATAAAAGTGTTGGACACGAGTAAAACAAAGGAGGAACTATAATAAAAAATGCTGCTTTTTGCTTCTCAACAGACCTGAGAAGAAAAAAGTTTGCCAGCACATATATACAGAGCATATTTAATTGACTTTTTCAGCCTCTAAATGATTCAGTGACGACGTCTGAACCTTTTTTTTATTTTTTATTTTTTATTTAATTTAATTTTATTTTATTTTTTATTTATTTTATTTATTTTATTTATTTTATTTATTTTATTTATTTTATTTATTTATTTACTTATTTTTTTTATTTATTTTTTTTCATTTTTAAAATGTTTTATTTTATTTATTTATTTATATTTTATATTTTATTTTTATTTATTTGTTTATTTATTTTATTTTCTGAACCTTAAATTTGATCCTCATTAGAGGAAACCAGCGGATCAGTGTCTCTTTTTGTCGTTTTCCTGCTTTTATTCTGGTTCTTTTTACCCTTTTCTGGCCGTTTGGGGGCTCTCTGTGTTGTTTGTGGGGCGTCTGACCTGATCTCTGGTGCTCGAAGTGGTGCTTGACGTGGTAGGCCTTCAGGCTGTACAGGTAGGAGCCCCTCTTGGGGGAGCCGTAGTGCAGGTAGTAGTGGATCATGTCGTAGACCACGTAGCCGCAGAGCCCCCCCACGAACACCGACGTGCCCAAAACCTCCGGCAGCGTCTTCTGCAGGACCAGGTAGAACGCCACCACCACGATGGAGGCCAGGCCGGGCGGGAAAACCAGCCGGGAGCCGTCGAACGGAGACTGCCCGCAAACACAGGGACACAGAGGAACATCCATATGTGAATTTCAGTTTTTTTTTATCAACCCTTTAAAGCCTGATCCAAGAAAAATAGGAAGAATATTGGATTTTTTTAGTGTGAAGTCTGTCTTTGGTCCCTCAACATAAAAAATTTATTTGATTTATTAGTTGTTTTTATGACATTTGTTTACTCTATACTTCTATGGCTCAAACACGCTGACCATCTAACTGGTTTAAGGCAATCGGAGACAAAGTTTCTGCCGAACTCAGAAGCTTTGGTTCAAGGGTGTCAATACCAAATGACTACGAAAAATTACGAAAAGAAAGGCAGAAAACAGGAGCTTTCTGGACCAGCAAATTTCATTTTGATATTTAATTCAGAAGGCTGCGAATAGAAAAATGTTTTAAAATTTTATTTCATAAATGAATGCCATTGATGTTTTTTTTTTATTTGAAATAATAATTTAGCATCTCTCCACTATTAAGTTATATATAATGTAATAAGAGTTGCTTGTTCCATATTCAATGTTAACCCTTTAAAGCCTGATCCAAGAAAAATAGGAAGAATATTGGATTTTTTTAGTCTGAAGTCTTTCTTTGGCCCCTCAACAACATATAAAGGAAAATAAACTGAAATTATTTTGATCAAATTAGGGTGCAATAAGTAAAAAATATATTTTGGTGTAGTCTTCTACTGGCTGTTATCAGGTATATCTGAATGTGTACAACAGGGGTTTGAGCAAAGCTTTTACCACTGAATGATGCAAAAAGGCTCAGATCCAAAAGACTTCAGAAACCGGATCAGATATGACACATTTGGCAACTCTGGCCCGCGTTGTAATTATATTTGGCCCGCGAGACAATACCAAATGACTTCGAAAAATTACGAAAAGAAAGAGCCCTCCCAAGAATAAAACAAAACAGAAAATTACTTTTTTTTTGTATTAAATTCCTTATTTGCCCTTTTAACAAAATATGTAAAAAGAAAAAACAGAAATACATTTTTGATATTAATAATTTATCACTATGCAATAAGTCAAAATTATTTTTTGTGTAGTCTTCTGCCCCCTGTTATCAGGTATATCTGAATGTGTAAAATAGGATTTTGAGCAAAGTTTTTAGCATTAAATTATGCAAAAGGTGTCAGACGCAAAACATTTCAGAAACAGTATGTATCAAATATGCTACCTTTTGCATTACAGGGTTAAAGCAAAGTTTGTTTCCTTCCACTTTAAAAAGGCTCATTTTTTCAATCTTGGCCCGATTGGCTTTGTTCAGGTTTTACATTTTGGCCTGCTGTGTTTTCTGAGTTTGCCCCCCCTGCTTTGGCTGATGATTATTAGTAATATTAGCCCCAGATTTGTGCGTTGAGCGGGGGGGTGTGCACCTTGTGGTGCTGGCCGTGCAGCAGGAAGTGCAGCGTGATGAGGTAGTAGTTGTGGGCCGGCGGCTTCATGTGGAACACGAAGCGGTGGATGCAGTACTCGATGAAGGACCACAGGAACCAGCCCAGCAGGAACAGGACCGGGAACATGTACTGGTGCACGGGGAAGGACACGCCTGGAAACCACACACACATTAAGAAACACACACACACACACACACAGAAACACACACGGATGCTGAGTGTCAGTACCAGTGAGATTTTCTCTGACAAGGCAGGAAATGTGTTAAATAACACTTAAAAAGTGGTTTTATCTAGGTTTGAACCACCATTTTGAAGTAACATAAAAGTAACACGTTTATGTTTCCATAGTTTGATGCTTTAGTTCTGGAGTTTGATGCTTTTAAAGCTGTTTTTTGGGGCTTTTAAAGATGTTTTTTGCATATGTTTCTGTGTCTTTATCCAAAGCGACTTACAAAGTAGACCCAATGTTCTGGTTCAATTCTGATTCTGATTCTTCTGCTCTGGTAGGTCTGGTAGATCCTTCCTCCATCTTGGAAAATGTCTTCTAACTACGCATATCTTAGTTAGAGACACTCATTTTTTGCTTTTCAGTATTGGAAAGTGTGAAAAAGTGCGATATCTTTTGACTGTTAGTCAGTACCAGTGACAGTTTTTGTCTGACGAAGCAGGAAATGTGTTAAATAACATCACGTTACAAAGTTTGTACCCATTACTGTGAAGCAAGAGCAAACTCCTGTTTTCCCTCACAGAAGAACAGCTTTTGGTCAGAACAATCTCTCCGTGAGAGCCTCTAACATCTGGAACAGTCTTCCACTGCACATACCCCACACTGACCAGCTTTAAAACTCAACTTAAATTTTGGATGAAAGCAAACCAGTCATGTGACCACTAAAATCTAAACATTTCCTTGTGATGCTTATATTGTTTATTATATGTTATTTTTTATGCCTTTGCCCGCCTAGGGACTACGGATGAAGATTAGCTTTGTAGCTACAATCCGGCACATTTACATTTGTTTTTATACTGATGTTCATTAATGTGCTTTGTCCCTATTCAAATAAATAAATAAGTAAATCTCGTTTAGCGCATGGCTCCCGAACGTTACCTGAGGTGAGGATAATCCGGGTGGCGCCCTGGGCCAGCGTGGAGTAGCAGTGCCAGCAGAAGTAGCAGACGATGGGGAGCCACACCACCGGGACCCAGTACCTGCAGCAGCCATTTCAGGCAGGGAAAGAGTTCCTTTCTGCTTCTCATCATTAACCCGATCCGCACTCACATTTTTACACCTACGGGAGCTCCTGAGAGCCCGATGTGACGCAGGAAAACTCAGGAAAAAAGAGCTTTTCTACGTGCATTTAATGTGTTTCCTGCAGAAAATACAGGACTGTCTCAGAAAATTAGAATATTGTGATAAAGTTCTTTATTTTCTGTAATGCAATTAAAAAACATGAAATGTCATACATTCTGGATTCATTACAAATCAACTGAAATATCGCAAGCCTTTTATTGTTTTAATATCGCTGATTATGGCATACAGCTTAAGAAACCCAAATATCTTATCTCAAAAATATTAGAATATCGGATTTTTGAGTTTTCTTCAGCTGTACGCCATAATCAGCTACATTAAAACAATAAAAGGCATATTCTAATTTTCTGAGACAGTCCTGTATTTAGACAAAGCCGCACACTTAAGATCAAAGATATTTCTATTGATGTTCATCAATTGAGAGGGCTAAAGGAATTATTTTTAAGGGCCAAATATGGTCTTAAAGGGTTCATTCATGTTGTTTTATTTGTATTAAACCAACTCTATTCATTTAGGGGCTTGGTTTTAATCTTTTATTTTTAACATAAGCTGCCTCCAAAATGCAAAAAGGGACAAAAAAAAGAAATAGTA